TACGAGGCGCGTAAATTGCTTCCTGTGTGAAAAGGCCTTAAGGTGGTTGGCGGGGTGGTCGGGTGGATACCCAGGAGACCGGCGTTCGGTTTTAAACATTAGTTTTTAGTTTTTTATTTATTACGTTACGTAAGTTAGTGTTCTACATCGTTGCTAACGTTAGCTACGTTAGCTATGACGTTACGTAAGTTAGCATTCTACATTGTTGCTAACACTACTTAAAATATGCATGTTGACCGGTTGACCCTACAGCTAACCTCCTTGGTGTTGCTTGAAGTCTAAACGTCGTGAGATGACAGGCGAAAACCTTAAAATGCGGCGTGCTATTTATACGCCATTCCATGACATCATGTTGGTCACCTAGAAAGGGAAGTGTCGTGGAGCGAACTTTAATAAGTTGCAGAATAAATCATCCGTCAGTCTTTTATAACCGTTGTGCAACCAGCACTGAGATTAAGGTCCCGTCCACACGGCGACATTTAGTTCACAAACGGAGAATTAAATGAACACGATCTCCGTCCACAGCAGCGTTTTAGAGTTGATCTCTGTCCACATTGAAATGACTGAAAACGCTATTGGCCGTTGAGGTACACCGGGCATGCGTGTAAACATGTGGTGAGTCAGAGCGTCGCAGTTAATGAACCTGAAGGAGGCATGGCACGCTGTGCAGAGCTGTGCAGATATAGAAGTTCACCAGAGGCCAGATCAGATAAAAAGTCGTTTTTTACAGAAAAACAGAATTTATTTGAAATAAAACCCCAGTGAGTCCATCTCTGTGGATCTGCTGCACTGACAGGTTTATTTTTATGTGGATGTACTTCAAACACCATATTTTACAGGACAGCAGACAGATGAGGTTTCTGAATGGCTTAAAAAAAACAAAAAAAAACAACTTTATTCATACAGCACTGCTTTAACAACAAAGTGCTCCACGTGGTTCAATCAGGATTGAAAACATTTCAGGCGTCAAATAAAAGCAGACGGTTCATACGCCAATAAAATACCAACAATAAAAAGTAAAGAGGGTTAAACGTCTTCTTCAGCTGCTGCCCCTGCAGGACGGAGGAGGCAGAACATGTCCTGATGGAGCGCTCACATTATTCATCTGCATATTTCCACATAAAGAACTGTGTTGGTCAGTTATGGAACCAAGCACAGATACTCAAATACTCTACTTAAGTAGAAATACTTGAGTATTTCTATTTGTTTGTGATACTTCTGCCCTCTACAGAGGCAAACATTGCAGTTTTAAACCTGTTGGGAAAAACGCCTAAATAACAAACCCAAAATAAATCAGTAATATCTCTTCAACCATTTGGCCTAGATGCATAACTCTGGTCTCCTTTGAAAGGTCAGAAGCTGAGGAATATAATCCATTGTACATTAACATATTTATTTTATGATTACAGAGTAAATTAAGATGCAATAGAGAAAAAATGTGATTTTCATCCTCGCCTGGTAAAAAAAGAAAAACACTATTTTAATGCAATAAACCATCATACGGTAGATTATAATGCACCTAAATATCTTCTAATACACCTGCAATACAACGCTTTACAGGCCTGTAGCGTGAGAACAGAGCATCCCCTAACATTTGGTACCTGCGGGTCGATGCGTCTCCAACGGGTCGGCACAAATGGCGAATAAGACCGTGTGTTCCAAAGCGGCACGTTTCCTCTGCAGAAAATACGAGAGCAGGAAGCTCCCAGGTAATGCGCAACAGTCAAGGTGGCGCCTGACGAGAGTCGAATAGGCGGATTTTTGGACTTAAAACGGCAAAAACAAAAACATTCAGTCAGAGGTTTCTCCCGCAGCCCGGCTGCTCCGGCATCTGTTTTTAATTACTTTGCAGATTCAGAATATTAACACAAAATATGATCAACTAATAAATGAAGGTGTATTACTACAGAGAATACAGTATAAATATATGGGTAATATTCTCTGCAGTACTCTGGTTAATTCATTATTCTTCTGTCACATACTGTAAAGTACTTTACATTTCTCCACGCTTCTATTTAGATTTTAGATTTTCTACTCGACAGCTTTTTTATTATTTCTATTTCTTTTAATGCCTTTATTAGCAGTGTGAGCAACTTAATATTTTGATGCTGATACTGTAGTATTTTTTTAAATAGTACTGGAACAGAGCTGTTGGTGCTACTTTTACTTCCACCCAAAGTGAAATACATCAAAACCCAAAACTCAGGATGCGATGGATCTAAAAACTGCTGATCTGATCCTGAAAACTACAGACTTTACAGGAAAATCAGAGTTTGCTTGTTCTGATTAACTGATCACTGATTAACGATCACTGATTAACGATCACTGATTAACTGATTCACTGATCACTGATCACTGATTAATGATTAACTGATCACTGATTAACTGATCACTGATTAATGATTAATGATCACTGATTAACTGATCACTGATTAATGATTAATGATCACTGATTAACTGATCACTGATTAATGATTAACGGTCACTGTGTTTGCTGCCGTCTCAGTACTCAGATCTGGAGCTGGCCATCAACACGCTGGTCACAGAGTTTCATAAAGCTGCAGACGACAAACCGACCATGAACAGCACCCAGTTCCAGGCCATGATCTCCAATCAGCTGCCTGGATTCGCCAAGGTAACGATGACATCACAGCTCATCCTCCAATCATATCACACTTCTCTCTCTGGACATCCTGAGAGATGTTCGATCACTCAGCTGATTCAGGGCTCGTGAACTGACACTTTCAGCGTGTAGTGGATGTACTCGCTACGCAAACCGTTAACAGAGGATGACAAAAGGTCAAACTCTGACACCTGTAGTTTCCTCTTCCTTGTCTCATCCTAACATACAGACCCAGACCGTCTGAAATGTCAGAGACAGGGCCGCCATTAGGAATTAGGACAGGGGGACAACATTTTTCAAACCGGGCCCCTCATCAACACCCACTCCAGTCCACCTCCACCCCAATCTTAGTTCTAATAACCAAACACAGACAATATCAAAGAAGTTCTTTGCCATTAGCCTTACAGTGACACACTATAAGGCTTGAGCCGAGGTCGTCTGTACCCTTTGACCCCCCTGACAGCGGGCCCGATCAGAGAACCCAGATTCTGAATGCGCAGAACGTTTTGAACATGAGCAGAGCTGAAACACAGGAGCTACTAACGTCCAGGAGTTTCTAACTGAATTAAAATGAACTCATGTCTCGTTGAGGTAAAAAGAGGCCACTTGACTGGAAATCAAAAAAGCAATTCAAGGTGAAAAAGCCTGATTATATGAAACCCATTAGAATTATAGATGAACAAACAGGTATAGCAGGTAATTTAACCGTCTTTATTTCCTGTCTGATTATTTTTAAATGTCTCTTTTGCTTTTATGTTTATGTAAAGCACTTTAAATTCCCTTGTTGCCAAAATGTTCTGTACAAATAAACTCGCCTTGTTTCCCCTAACAAGACCACAGCTCATTGCCTCTGAGAGCCGCTCTGACTTAGATTCTCAAGTGTTACCAGTTGCCTGAATTTAGTGTTTCCCTTTACATAAAAGAGTGATCAATATTTACTGTTGGTAGCCAACTGAACCGACGGACAGAGCTAATCAGAATCATGTGTTCGGGGGAGTTAACTCTGGTCTCGGTGTGTTTACACAGAACAGCATCAACAGACAGAACGACGAGGAATTGAAGTTGTTTCAGTTTTCAGTGGGAAACAGCTTCCAGTGAAGTTCAGATTAACTCAAGTTTAGTGAACATTTCAAACAAATACCTGAGTATCCGAGCGGCAGGGAGCAGATTCACCACGCTCTGCCGCCGGGTTCAGTCCCCCTCTGTGACCCGTCCACCAACGTGTCCCTGAGCAAGACACTTAACCCCTCGTTGCTCCAGAGGCGTGTGACCTCTGACATGTAGAGCAGCTGTAAGCTAAAAATGAATAAATGTGCGGAAGAACAGTTAATTTAAACATCAGCACTGTATCACATGGTGACCTTCAGAGTTGCAGCTTTCTTGCAAAGGCCCATCTTATTCACGTGTCTGGCGTCGCATTGGACCAGGCCAGAGTGCAGTCAGCTGGTCCTCAGACTGATGGTCTGTGGGTAGGAACTGTTCCCGAGTCTGTTTGATTTGCTCCGTAGCGCCTCCCAGAGGGGAGGAGCTGGAACAGGTTGTGTCCGGTGAGATGGATCTGCTGGGATGTTTCTCCTGACTCTGGACATGTACAAGTCCTGAATGGAGGGCAGGTCGACACAGATGATCTTCTCTGCAGTCCTGACTGTCCGCTGCGGTCTGTCCCGGTCCAGTTTGGTGGCAGATCCGAAACCAGATCCTAAAGTCCATCTCTTCATAAACTGTTTAAGTTTTAAAGGTGCGACCAGATTCAGGGAATCTGTTCCGTCTTTCTTGTTATGATGATTTCCAAAGATACAAGTTACTGTATTTCCAAAAGAAGTCATGAATTCAGTTTTACAATCATGTTGAACATTTACACATTAATAAAT